CCGCCTTCCTTCCACAGATCTTGCGGGCTGTGCTCAGTATGGATCCTGGGAGTACACCCATGACCAAAACAATGCCCATCCCCTTGGCACTCGCAGTGAGGGTGAGAGGCAGGTAAAGTCACAGTTCATTGCATGGTACAATCTCTATGAGGACAGGGAAAGTCTGGGAACTAGTCAAGCAGAGACCATCTGTGGGGGTCTGGTCCTTAGCTTGGATTCGGAGGCTCTCCTTGAGGTGAGCAGGCTCTCCTGCGTGAATTTACATTAATCAAACACACAGGGAGCTACCGTGGAAACCAGAATGCCTGATTATCGATTTACGGAGAGAACTGTTAGCTGGCAAGGCAGCCAAGTATCTGCTCCCGCCAGTGCTCCTCTCCCTGAGCCCAGAACCAGATGTGCATCGAGGGCTGCGGGTGATGGTCGAGTGGACAGAGCGTGCTCCCGTCCCCAGGCTGAGCAGCTCCCTCTTCCCACCTAGACTGCAGGCTTGATGAGGGTGGGAAGCCGAGGTGGATAGTGTCTGGCTTATGTCTCTATGCAGACCTGGCCCCTTGGGGCTCCGTGTTTTGCCGTGTGTTGTAGAAAAGAGCAGACCTAACCATTCTGCTGGGGTAGAAAGCAAGTGCCAGGCATAGCAGTTGGAAGGAATAGAAGGCTTGCAAGAACACTGAGGGGAAAAAAGACAAATGGGCTGAAAGAACAAATCATCCAGACTCCTCAGGTAGCCCACAGGCCCCACAGGGTGGTCCGGCCCTGCCTCCCTCCCCAGCCTCTGACATCTCACTTGCCTGCCCCGCGCTGCTGCCACACTCACCTTTCTCTCTCTCAGGCAACCAAGCTTGCTCCCGCCTCAGAGCTAGCTTGCTGTTGCCGCTGCCCCAGATCCTGGCCTGGCCGCCTGCCTCTTGGCATGTACCTGCTTGTTCAGGTGTGTCATCTCTTCCTGACCACACGATCTCAATGGGCCACCTCCACCCCGCCCACCCGGTTACTCTCTCTTGTCACCCTGATTTCCTGGGTAACGCTTGCCATTTGCTAGATCGGTCTTAGGCTCTGGACGTTGCTGTATCCAGTGTAGTCGTTAGGAGCACCGACTGTGAGCCAGACGGCCTGTGTTTGAGTCCTGGCTCTGCCACTTGTTAGCTGTCTGACCCTGGACAAGTTACTCAACCTCATTGTCCCTCAGTTTTCTCCTATGTAATTGGGGCAGTACTAGTACCATCTCGCCCGTTGCTGTGTGGGTTATTGAGTTAACTCTATGTAAAGTGCTTAGAACAGTGCCTGGGACATGGTAAGTGCCACATAAAGGTCTGCTGTTATCATTGGCCTCAGTACCTGAAACATATTAGACAATTAGTACATATTTGTTGGAGGTAATTAGACCTCCCTGGGTACTGTCAGTGAGAGCTGCTGGCCTGGTGGGAGGCAGCACTGGTGCTGGTATCTGCCACCCAAGCCACCCGTCCTCTGAAGCACACTGGAGTTGCTGCTGACTTTTGGCACTTTCTTATTTTTTCTTTTGTGTGTGTGTGTGTGTGTGTGTGTGTGTGTGTGTGTGTGAGAGGAAGATGGGCCCTGAGCTAACATCTGCCAATCCTCCTCTTTTTGCTGAGGAAGACTGGCCCTAGGCTAACACCAGTGCCCATCTTCCTCCACTTTATATGGGACGCCACCACAGCATGGCTTGCCAAACGGTGCATCGGTGCACGCCCGGGATCCGAACCCGCAAACCCTGGGCCGCCGCAGTGGAGCACGTGCGCTTAACCGCTGCACCACTGGGCCGGCCCCCCGCACTTTCTTAGATGTTGCATATCTGGAGTGGAGGCTGGAGTCAGTCACAGACTGTGGCTAGGGGCAAAGCAGAGGTCAGATCCAGGAGCTCGTGGGCCATTTGGGGAAGGCCCCCGAGCCATCATGGTTCCAGCAGCTCTAAGAAGTGTGTAATGGGGCCGGCACCGTGGCTTAGTGGTTAAGTGCGTGTGCTCCGCTGCTGGCAGCCTGGGTTCGGATCCCGGGCACGCACCGATGCACCGCTTCTCCAGCCATGCTGAGGCCACGTCCCACAGACAGCAACTAGAAGGATGTGCAGCTATGACATACAACTATCTACTGGGGCTTTGGGGATAAAAATTAATTAATTAATTAATTAAAAGAGAAAAAAAAAAGAAGTGTGTAATGTATTTAAGCAAAAGTCTTCCATCTATCGGTGGTCAAAACAAAGCCTTGGTACTTACGGTGGAAAACCGGGCCGTTCCTAACAACAGCTTTTAGAGTGGGCCTTTCACTGCTCCACCCACAATGCCAGTTAGCAGATATTGTAAGTAGAAAAAGATACAGCACCTTCTGTAGTTGCTTTAGCTACAGTGTATACCATTATGTTATATCAAGTATACAGGCTTTGACTTCAGTGTTTTACTGTGTGGGCCAAGTGATAAGATACAGAATTACCCCTTCCTTTTGTCTTCTTTACAGTTTTGCATTTGGCTCCCTAATTTCTGCTGTTGATCCAGTGGCTACTATTGCTATTTTCAATGCACTTCACGTGGACCCAGTGCTCAACATGCTGGTTTTTGGAGAGAGTATTCTCAACGATGCAGTCTCCATTGTCCTGACCAAGTGAGTGCGCTTTCTTCAAGTGATGGAAGTGAAGGTCCCTGTAACAAAGGGACAAATATTTCCATGCACTGTGTCTACAGTTGCTTGTCCTCTGGGTGATTGATTCACCCACTTCTCCATCTTTCTGTCCCAACAAGCCTTGACATGCCCCAGGAATATCATCAAGGCCTGGGGGGGATTAGGAGAGGAGAGTCCACCTTTTATGACCTGCCTTTTAGCACTGGTTTTGAGCCCAGCTTCTCATCAGCATCACTGGGGGTGCTTAGGAAATGTGGCATTCCCAGGCCCCACCCTCAGAGTGTCTGATTCATTTGGTCTGGGGTGAGTCCCAAGAACTTAGGTTTTTAATAAATTCCCCAGATGATGATGGAGCAGCCAGTTGAGGGATCAGTGGTTGGGCAACATTGTAGCAGACGACAGCAATAGACAGAGGCCCTGCTCTCCCCCTCAGGGGCTGCTGCGGGTCACCTTCATTTTCACAGCTGTAAAAGAAGGTAGTGTGACTAACAGGCGCCCCCCCCCCCCCCCCCCCGCCCCAAGCTATTGTGTGCAAGCTACTTTGGAAACTGGAGATCTTTTCCAAGTGTTCGTTGGTATTACCGTCCTAGTTGACAGGATCTGAGAAATTAAAGATGAATCATAAAATGTCAAGAAGTCATTGGGAAAATGAAATGAATTTAAGATAATCTCAAATGCGTTATCTGCTACAGGGCTGTTCCCTTGAACTCTGTGTTTTGTGGTGGTCATTAGCATGTGTGGGCAGGAGACCCAAACACTTTTGCCAGAAAACAGAGAAGGCACAGACAGTCAAAGCAGCTAGAGAAAAGAGCCCTGGACAGTGTATCAGAGATGAGCTAAGAGAATTTTACGGGCCAGTCTGTGTTCTGTTAGAGAACAGAATTTCCATTATCTGAATACTGACTTGTTTCCTTTGTTGTGGAAGTCCTTGCCAAGCAAAACCACTTGCTGTTAGTTAGCATTTTCCTAATAGACTACCTTCAGAACTCGTGTGTGGGACTAAAACAACATTTTATGGCGGAAAGAGCCCAGGTTTTGGAGTCTTGCTGATTTGGGTTCAAGTCCTGCTGATGCCACTCATAGCTGTGTGACCCTGGGTCAGCTCCTTCACCTCTCTGAGCCACAGGTTTCTCCACAGTAAAGTAAGAGTGAGAATGCCTCTGCCTAGGGCTGGATTTGAGGAGTGAATGGTTAAATATACTATGAAAAGCATCTGATATTGGTTAATGTGAGATCTTTTCCTCTTCTGCTCCTGCCCCCAGTTATTGTTTCACTGTGTTTGCCCTGTTTTTATCCCACTTCTGCAGGAAAAATTTACAAATATTGCTTGATTGCAAGAGGTGCTCAACAGACCTTAAACGAAACAAACTTTAAAATATTTTTATTATTTGAAAAGTAGTACTATATTCTTCGTATAAAATTTAGAAAACACACAAGCAAAAAATGAAAAATTAGATGCGTTGTTACTACTCAGAGATAATTATGGTTAACAATTTGGTAGAAGTATACATATATTTTATTTAGACGGGCTTATAGCCTATATACTGTATTGTAACTTTTCCATTGAACAGAGTTAATAAAATAATCTTCTAGAGCATCATTTTACTGGTTACAAATTATCCTTTCTGTGGATTTACTGTGACCTAGTTAACCAGCTCCCTATTATTGACTTTTTTACATTTCTCTTGGCAAAAATTCTGTAGTTTTATTAGGAAATTATCAAAAATCATGCTATAAGACCTTTAAAAAACCTGATGGCAATATTTTTTCTTATTTCAGACATACTCTGAAGGCTTCTTAGCTTTCTGGTTTTGACTTTTATCTCATGTCCTGGCTGCGCATATTGAAAATTTGTGATAAAGAAGTTTGCTGAAATTGGAGATGACATCATGAGTTATTTTTGTGCATTAGGATCTAAACTCAACTGCTTTGTCTCTAATTTATTTATTTATTTTTTAATCTGTTAGGATCTTTTCTGAGCTTTTCCAGGTCTCTTTGCCACAAAAAGGCCAAAGATTATGAGATATTTTCTTTTTAAAATGAGAAATGATGGCGTCATTATAAGTAGCCAAAGGTTCTTCCTGGAAAAGTGCTTTTGAAGGCCAAGATCACCTATGATGGCAGTTCCCAAAATTGGATCTGTGGACCACATGCATGTATAGTGTCCAGCCTCCGCTGCCACCACTGCTGGTCCACAGGCTTGGGTAGCAATCACTGGTCTAAGCCCCGTCCAGCCTCTCTGACTCTCCAGACGTGCTCAAGGCAGGTCGTCTGCCATCAACATTTGGTGAGGGCCCTCCATGTGCCAGACACTGCTCAGAGACCAGCTGGACTTGAACCCGGTCCATGGTGGGAGAAAGATGCTCATAGAGAAGTGAACACAGTGCCTTGAGTACGAGGGGGAAACAACCATAGGAAGGCTTTGAGGAAGGCTTCTCAGACAAGTTGACATTTTCAGATAGAAGAGGGAGAAAGGGGGCATGGTAGGCTTGCCTTTTTTTTTTTTTTTTTTTTTTTTGCAGTACAGGAAGGGGCTATTATTAGCTTTTTTTGGTTATAAGGTAGAATCCTGTCTTGTTTTTAAGGAGTATACTTCATTAATGACCATTTTCGAAGTGATCTGACACGTTTATCTTTGCAACTGAATATGTGAATGAATTAGCCCTTTTTTAATGTTTCCACTTTCTTAATTGCCAGAAAGCTAAGTCTCTTCTGTTTCTTCATTAACTTTAATTGTTATTTTTAGCTTTGATTTGTTACTATGACAGTTTACTCTGATGATAATTGCTGTAGAGGAAACCTTTCATTCTCTCCAGCTATAGCTTCAGCTCGTGAAATTTGATACTAAAGAAGCATTGTCTTTTGTTCTTTAAAGTGTGGGAAACATGATATGAAAAAATAAAATGTAGACAATTACCAGGCCAGAAAGTCCCAATTCTGCTTTCATTTATCTTGAGTTTAGAAACTCTTGGCCTCGCCCTGGGTCTGCTGTTCATCTGTGGCGTGACCTCCCCTAGTGAGTCGCTTTCTTTGGGCCTCAGCCTCCCCTGTGTAAAAAGAAAGCAGTGACAGCAGCCGGTGTACCAGCCGTGGTAGTGATCTGGGGCGGGGCAGGACACTGTGCACGTTGTCCACAGATCCGTTTGGGAACTCTAGGTGGTGCTAGCCTTCAAAAGCACTTTCCCAGTAAGAACCCTTGTTGGCTCTACTTGTGCTCTGCTGGGAAAGAAACGGGAAGGGGGAGATCGTGCATTCAGATGAGTTTGGAAAACTTTTGCTTAAAAAAAGATTTCTTTTTTTGCAGAACATCTCAGAAGCTTTATTATGTTGTATTGTGCTGTGAATCGCCATGAAAGGCTTCCTGAGGTTATTTGACCAAGCTATCCTTTTATCAGAGATTATCCTGCCTTAAAATCATACCAGTTCATGAAACGCTGATTAAAAATGAAGCTGAGGGGCCGGCCCGGTGGCACAAGTAGTTGGGTGTGTGCGCTCCGCTGAGGTGGCCCTGGGTTCGCTGGTTCGGATCCCGGGTGCGCACCGACGCACCACTTGACAAGCCATGCTGTGGCGGCATCCCATATAAAGTGGAGGAAGGTGGGCATGGATGTTGGCCCAGGGCCAGTTTTCCTCAGCAAAAAAAAAAAGAGGAGGATTGGCAGATGTTAGCTCAGGACTGATCTTCCTCAAAAAAAACAAACAAACAAAAAAAAATGAAACTGAATATTACTGTTGACTATTTGTTTCATTTACTGATTCAGCAAAAATTAATTAAGTGTCCTTTGTGTGCTAGGCTCTACCTTAGGCCCTGGACATATGGCAGGGAACAAGACGGACACAGGCCTGTCTTCATGGAATGAGACGTTAGTTTTCACATACTGTGGAGAAGGCAGGCACCAGGAGAGCTTGTAAATGAGCTGGCCTCTGTGAAGGGGTCAGGGCAAGTGTCCCTGAGGAAGTGACACTGACCCTGGGTTCTGAGGAACAAACTAGGGAGTTAGCTGGACCCAGGGAAGAGTGAAAGAGGACCGACAGGAAGGTGCCAGTGACAGTGAGGCCCGCCCTGAATGAGGAGGAGATGGGATCGAGAGGTATGGCGGGGAGGGGAGCCAGGTCATGCTAAGACTGGGCTTCCTCCTAAAAAGCAGCAGAAAACTGTTGGGTTTTGAACAGGCCAGTAACCTGATTAGATGGGTATTTTAAAGGGGTCTTTCAGGCCACTGAGTAAAGAATGGGTTGGTCCCTAGGAAGACAAGGATATAGATATAGAGATCTGTGAGGCATTAGTCCTAGAACAGAGGATAGTAGGGGAGAAAGGGAGAGAAATGGATGAATTTGAGAGATAGTCCAAAGGTAAAATCAGCAGGGGAAGGATATTTAATGAGAATAACTCCATTTTAATGGTAGAATAGTTTTCCCTTTGGGGATAAAACTAACAATTTAATATAATGGCTTCTGACATTTTACTTTGTTCTGTTATAGTAAAAGGAAAGTTCTTTGAATTCTTCCTCCTAATGCCTCCTAAATCCACCCTCTTGGCCTGAACCCAATGACATTTCTTCTTTAGGCAACTCCATTCTAATCTGACTTCATGCTGCAGCCTCAGTGTCAGGTTTTATCACAGGATCCCGCCCTGTACTGAAAACACTCCCCATGACCCCCCAGGGCCTTCAGGAGGAAATACCGGCTCCCTAGCTTGATCCCTCAGAAGCCTTCTGCGGGTCCTGCACTGCCTGCTGCTCTTGCCTTATCTCTTGCCACTGTCTTCCCCACTGGCCCCCCTCCCCTCACATCCTGTTCGTATGTTCTGTCCACACTGATCTATGTAATTGAATGCTTCCACAATGTGCCACGTATTCTTGGATCCCTGCCTCTGCACATGCTGTTCATGCTGTTCCTTCTGCCTGGGGTGCTTTCCCCCGTTTCTTCCCCTGGTTAACTCTTCTGTATTCTAAATGTAAACCCAGCCCACATGTTATCAGGAACCTACTTTGAGCCCCTGCGGTCTGAGTTAGATGCCCACCCTGTGTTTCTACAGCCCTCTGCCCTTACCCCGATGGTCATTAGCTCCCATCTTGTTTTTCTCCCCCATTAGACTGTAGAGCTCCTTGAGGGCAGGGACTTGTCTCTCATCTCTGAACCCCTAGACACTAACATGGTGCCTGGAACAAAGTAGGTGAACCATTAAATGTTAGACTAAGTGATTAAATGATAGAATGGATGAAAGAATAAGCAAGGAATAAGTTTTGAGTTCTAAGTTAGTTTCTAATAACTTTTGTCTATAACATTTTAACTTCTTTCTGTTTTTCTTTTATTTCCTAGCACAGCTGAAGGTTTAACAAGAAAAAATATGTCAGATGTCAGTGGGTGGCAAACATTTTTACAAGCCCTTGGCTACTTCCTCAAAATGTTCTTTGGCTCAGCAGCGCTCGGCACTCTCACTGGCTTAATCTCTGCATTAATATCCTTTTAATATGATGAACACGCGTGGCTGAGAAGATTATTCTTAATTACATTAATCTCTAGCTATATTCTCCACTTCCTTAAGGGGGCCAATTTTAGTCTAAGGTGGTGTTTGAAGAAGGATTTTTATGCTTAGTTTTGGTTTGAGGAACTCTTTAATTTAAACTCAAGGATTTTTAAATTTAGCATGTGAAGTTTAGGATGTCACTTTTCAAAGCTTAAAAAACATGTACAACTGTTGGATATCAGATCTGGTTTTGGAGGCTTCTCAGTTCCCAGAGTATGATAACTGCATTCAGATGAATTTCACTTTCCGCTGTCTCACTTTGTACTTTCAGAAAATTGGAAATTAATTTCCTTTGAAAATGTCAAATTGAGAAAATCTCTACCCCACTGAAAGTGTTTCTCTGGAAGGACCAGAAAAGAGACTTTCACAGTGAGCTCCATCTAAGTTATTTGCACTGATTTTGTTGCTTAACAGCCCATAAGCTTTTCCAGCCAGACAAGGAAAGAGACACATTGAGGCCAATGACACCTTTATTGCTGTAGAAAATGCATCATGTTTAAAACCGGCCCCAGACCATTTCTGCGTAAGCCTAAGCCTGCGTCGCAGGGAGATGGCCACCTGGCCCTCCCCCACGAGCAGTTTGTCTCACAGATGGCCGGAAAAGCCTCTTTTGCCTATGACAGGCATGTTTGTCTGCCATCCTGTTGAATTTTCCCGTCAACTCCTTTGTCCAGAAGTCTAAAGGCTCTGTTGAGTTGGCTGACAGCTTCTCATATTGTACCAATAAACAGAATGGAAAAGAGAAGACTTTTTCCAGTTCAGTATTTTCCTCTATATTTATCTTTTTCTTTAAAAAAAGCAAAAAAAGCATTTATTGTAATGAGACTGAATAAGTGGGTGCTATGAGCTCCAGCATAGGCATGTGAACAATATTTGAGTATATAGAAGATTCTCCTTTCACAGGAGCGTGAGTTTAGAAATCTCCAGGAATAGGAAAGAAGGTCCGTCAGTGGGGCACTGAACCCCAGGGTTCTGGAAACCCCATTAGTGGTCTCATCTGATGGCGTCAGAGGAGGTGGAAGAGTGACGTGGCCGTGGAAGGGGCTGGCGGTGTGGGCTGTCTTGTCTGTCTGCAGCCCCAGCTGTGCCCCGACCCCGCTCCCAGCCCTCCAAGTCAGCATTTTCAAATGAGTCGACTTAGGTTGATTTTAATTTTCCCCTACCATTTGTCTCGGGAATTAACGTTTCTTAGTGTTTTATCGGATTCCGTTTCTTGAAACAAGAGTCTCCCTACAAAGAAAATAATCCATAATGACAAATTTTCATTTGTTACTTTGGGATGTTGCAGAATCTTTTGTATCCATTGTTTATATATTTGGAAGGCAGCAGCTTTATGACTTCTCTAGATCTCCCGTCAACTGTCCCTTGATTCTTTTTCCTTGACAATTGTCATTTACGTGCTAAAGCATATTGACTTGAGGAAAACGCCTTCCTTGGAGTTTGGCATGATGATCATTTTTGCTTATCTTCCTTATGGGCTTGCAGAAGGAATCTCACTCTCGGGTAAGTGACGGAGACCACTGAAGCGCTGGGGTTGATGGCGTGTTGGCCTGCCTGGTGAAAGAGGTTATGTCATTTAGGTCACTTTCCAATCACAAGAAACAGTCACAACTTAGAAGAGCTTAAGCAATAAAGGAGATTTACTGGCTCTCTAGGGATGCATTTGGATTTAGACCTGGCTCCATCCAGGGGCTCAGTGTTGTCACAGTGACATTTTTTCTTTACCCACCGTCCTGTAGCAAGATCAAAATCTGTCTTCCAATGTTGCCTCTTTCCCAAAACAAGGCCTCTGAAGGGCCTTCACTCAAAGGACGGGGTCAGACTGCTGAGGGCAGCCAATCCCTCGGCCCATCCTGGGCCCTGGCACCCACTGATCTGTACTCTTTCACTATAGTTTTGCTTTTTCCAGAATATAAATGTCATATAAATGAAATCATGTAGTATGTACTCTTTTGTGTCTCATTTCTTTCAGTTATCATAATGTTCTTGAGAGACATCCTGTCTTTTGCATGCATCAGTAGTTATACATTCTTGCTGAGCCCCATTTATCCATTCACCATTTGAAGGACATTTGGGCTTTTCCAGATTTGGGCTGTGCATATCTATGCATATTTTCATTTATCTTGGATAAATACCTAGGAGTAAGGTTGCTGGGTCATATATTTTACTTGATTAGAAGAGTATATTTTTTATTTTATTAGAAACAGCCAAGTGTTTTACAAAGCGACTGGACCATTTTGCATTCCCATCAGAATGTACGAGTGAGTTCCGGCGGCTTCACATCTTCACCAACACTTATTTTAATTTTAAGAAGTTTAGCCATTTTGATAGGTGTGTGGCAATTTGATTTTGATGTGCCTTGGTGTGGTTCTCTTTATATTCTGTTTAGGGTTGATTGAGCTTCTTGGGTTTATAGTTTATGTAAGTTTATAGCTTTCACCAAATTTGATAAATTTTTCCCCATTTCTTGAAATATTTTTTTCTGTTCTTCTCTCTTCTCTCGTTGGGAATCCAATTACAGTATGCTTTGTCTTTTTTTTTTTTAATCTTTTTTTCTCCTGTGATTTTTTTCTTCTGCTAAGCTCAATCTCCCATTAATCCCATCCAGTGTATTTTTCATTTCAGACATTGTATT